TTTTTAAAAAAAAAGCCAACAAAAATTAAGATGTGGCTGATCCAATTCATGGTATTTTTCAATTGCTTTTGTGTGCACGTGAAAGCTGGATAATGAACCAGGAAGACTGAAGAATTGTCGTGCTGGGGAAGCGTACTGAATACCCCGTGAGCTGCCGAAAGCACAAACAAATGTGTCTTGGAAGCAGCTCAGCCAGGAAGTTCATTAAAGGTGGGGAAGGTGAGACTCTGTCTACATGCTTTGGGCATTTTGTCAGGAGGGGCCACTCCCTGAAGGTACATCACACTGGGTAAAGTGAAGGGTCAGTGAAAAAGAAGACCCTAAAAGAGATGGATGCACCAGAATGAAGGCTTTACAGTGGAGTGGATTTCAGGGGAGGGATTGTATAACAATGAAAGAATTTTACTTTTCAAAGAGAAGAACAAATTAGTGGGGGAGGCGGGAGAGACTGGGCAGGAAGAAACGTGCAACAATGAATGAATGGAAATCCAAAACATCTGTAAACTTTCATTAAAATTAATAAAAAAAAGAAAGAGATGGATGCAACACTGGGCTCAAGCAGAGCAGGGCTTGTGAGGATGACGAAGGATCAGGCAAGGTTTTGTTCAGTCATGCACAGGAGAGTTGTCACTCAGAGCTGACTCAACAGCAGCTAACAGCAAAACAATAGTGAACTCCTGCCTGGGACAGGTCTTTGTGTTTCATGTTGTCCAGTCAACTCCGACTCACCTTATATTCAACAAAATAAAACGTGACCTCGTCATGAGTCATCCTTACAGGTGCCAGCACGTCTGAGCCCTTCACTGTGTCAATGCATCTCACACGGGTCTCCGCTACCCTTAACAGCCCTGTCCTTCCTTCAACAACCATGATATTTGTCCTTAGCAACGGATCTGTCTTGATGATTGGAGCAAAGCAGCAAGTCAGACAACATTGTGTAGTGATCCGTAGGGCTGTCATTGACTGATTCTCCTAAAGAGCTCTCCAGGCCTTTCTTCCTAGTCTGAGGCTGGATCTGTAGGCTCCATAGGGTTTTTTTCTCTGACTAGTCCTTGGGAGGAGATCACCAGGCATTTCTTCCTAGTCTAATCTGGGGGACCCTGCTGTCATTTAAAATACCAAAGGAATAGTTTCTGGCATCACAGTACCATGTAAGCCACCACAGTATGACAAACTTGCAGATAGGTGGTAGCATGTCAGTGGTGTAGGAAGCTGCATTTTATTTCTTCAAGAGTAATATACTTTTCTGAGAACTCTAGGATATAGGGTATTGGATTGAGGGTGGGATGGCCAGCTGCTGTTATCAGAGGAGACAGAGCTGACTTTAGGCCTCTGCTCTAAAGAAACTCCTCTAGCGGTGGGTGACCTGGCTACTTCCTTCATCTCAGCCGCTGAGTCTCAGGTGTAGACAGTTGCAACACTGGGAACCTGTCTGAAGCATCCTAGCTCATGCATAAAGGCATCTCCCCCCAGGAGGCATCTGAGGCTCTTGGCAGCATCAGAGGCTGAGCTATCCACGGAAGTCCTCCTCCTGCGGAAGTCCTCCTCCTGCAGACGGGTCTTCTGCGGTCTCTGGCCAGAGCTAAGCCGTTACAGGGGAGGATTCGGCCACAAGGCCTGGCCAGTGGGGCATGGAGCCAAGGGCTTAGCTTCAGAATTGGATTATGAGAGTGAATTTGGAGCCTCTGACCCCTCTGGATTTAGGGACATGGGGATTACCCAGGCCTCTGGCTGGCGGCCAGAGTCCTTCCCTGAGTCCCTGTCAGGTGGAAGGACAGGGTTCCTTACTCTGCTGTAATTTACAGCACCGTTCCACCCTGGCCTCCTGTGGTTCTGGGATTCTGAGCAGTGTTATTCAGATTGTGGTCCCCAGATGAGCTGCAGCAGCAGCAATGTGGAAGCCTACTAGAGACATAAGTTTCATGAACCCCTCTCTAAACACTGAATTAGTTTCTGGGCACTGGGTCCAGATATCGTGACTTACCAATTCCTGTGGGATCTGAAACCCACTGGCGTGGTGCATACCTGCCTGCTCTGCACACCTGTCCAAGTCTGCCCTCAGCCTGTTAAAGATGCTAGGCACCTTCTCCCCGCCCAGTTCTCTCTCAACCTTTCACTTATATCATTGTTGTTGTTCGGTACCGTCAAGTTGGAATCAACTCATAGCTGACCCTCCAGCAGGTTTTTGGAGACAGCAAATTGTACGGTAGGAAACTGTCCATCTTTCTCCCTTGGAGCAGCTGGTGGATTTGAACTGCGAGCCTTTGGGTTGGCAGTGCAATTCTCTATAAGCCACCAGAGCTCCCTTATAGAAATGATAATGGATCCTGCTTTGTATTTCCAATATGCTCACTTCTATTGCAGTCTGTGTGGATGGCAGGCACCCTCTGGAGGGGCAATGCTGTGAGAGAACATACCATGAGCCCATCTGTGGTGTTTTATTTGTTTATTGTTCAAAATGGCTCTCTTAGCCATTGACTTTGACTTTGACATGTGGAAATAGGGTGTGTTAGTCCATCCACACGGGGGATGGCTAGTCTTGCTATCAAATTGAGCTCATTCAGCAGAATCTGAGCCTCTCCTGATCAGCAAAGCTGCAGAATGCAGTGCACACCCTTTTGGGCCATAGATTCTTCCATCAGCCAGACCTACAGGAAAGCAGCAGCCACCAGCAGCAGAGAACCAGAGACCCAACATGAGGCAGAGCGGACCTGGGATTGCTACCCCAGGAAACCAGAGCTAAGAGCCTTTGGCCAAGCTGAAGGACTTGGTGGGAGAGTCATAACTGGCAGGACTAAGAGCTTTTAACCCTAGCCCTGAGGCTGCAGACTAAGGTGCCTATGAGAGAGAAGCTGTCCTGACTGATTCTATCTGCTATCAATCTGAAGTATAGTCTTTTTTTACTTCTCTAATGTAAACTCTGTGAGCTACTCCAATAGATTTTGGACCTGGTTTCGAACTCTGTCCCACATACTTTGGACATGTGGTCAGAAGGGACCAATCCTTGGAGAAGGATATCATGCTTGGAAGGTTGGAGGGACAGAGCAGAAGAGGAAGACCCCCCAGATGAGATGGATTGACACAGTAACTGGGGTAATGGGGGTTGGTGTGTCAGAGTCAGTGAGACTGGCTCAGGACAGGACAGGATTCAGAGCTGTTATTTATTCAGAGCTGTTACAGGGTCATTATGAGTCATAGGCGACTTGACGGCACATAACCACCATCACAACAAAGCTGTTAAGACTGGTGTTGGAAGGGAGCTCTGGTGGCCTAGTGGCAAGAAGCTGCACTGCAATCCCAGACGTATGTGGTTCAAATCCACCAGATGCTTTGCTGGAGAAGGAGGGGCAATCTCCTCCTGTACCAGTCAGATCCGATTGGATGGTACACACAAAAATAATAAAGTAAAATAAAATTTAAAAAAGATTGGTGTTGAAATTACTTGAAAGAAGTGTGAAGGTATGGGAGACATGTCTGATCTTATGGGAACTGGTTTTGTGCGGTGGATTGTAGTTGACAGGACAGTTCCCCTTTGTGGAGGTGGTCAGACATGGTCGTGCTCATGCTGTTTGCTCCTTATACACCGTCCTTCAGCACTGCTGTATTATATGCGCATAACAGGCTCAGAAAGGGAGTGTGACTGGCCATAGGAAGTATATTTATGTAACATAGGGGTCTAGACACTGTGTAGGGGGCTCTGGTGGCCTTGTGGTAAGAACCTGGACTGCAATCCACTAGTTCAAATCCACCAACTACTCTGCACGAGAAAGATGGGCAGTCTCCTCTCATGTCATTTACTGTCTCTGAAAACCCGCTGGAGGGTCGGCTATGAGGGGTTCTGACTCGAAGTCATGCAACAACAGACTGTCTATCCACTCCTCAGTTTACCAGGTATCTATCTTATCATCTGACATTTCACATTTATAACAATGGCAAAAAACTCTGCCATCCTACTATTTTCTGAATTCACAACGTATGTACGGCAACTGCAAATGCCGAGGAAGAGGCGAGAGGAACACTGGCCGTGAGGGTTATGCATCAGCCTGACTGGGCTTTGGTTCTCAGTGGTTTGCCAGTTCCGTATTGATACAGCTGGCAGTCCACGCGGTTCGATTACAATGACGTAGTCATCTCCCGTCTCCTGATCTGATGTGTTCCGTTGTCACAGAACACCAACTGTTGTGTTTGGCCTGGTCTTTGGAAGCCAATCATGTGTGCAAACAAGGTGTGAATGTATTTAGGAACCGAGGTCATACAATGGTTTACTGCTTGGCTGGTAGGAGGTTGGCAGTTTAGGTGCCATGGGGGAAAAAAGAGCTGTTGATCTGAGCCTAGAAAATTCCAGTCAAGGGAACCCCACAGAGCAGTCGCCCTCTGTCCTGTAAGGCCTGAGCCAGAATCAACCCCGTGGCACACTCATCGAACAATGGACTAGCCTGCTCCCCACTTGGCGGAGACATCAGCTGCCCCACATCTGTCTCTTCACACTCACGATTTCCTGCACGACAAAACTGTGTCATCACTTCCTCAGGGCCACCACCCTTGACCTCCTGAGAGCGGCCAGGCCTCACTGCCTTGTGTTGAAGGTCACTTTCCTTTCCCTTCACAGCAGTGTCACCATTTTATAACTGCATATTGACGTGGTTATTTCAACTCTATCTCCTGGACCAGTGTGTAAACTCCAGGAAGAGAGGAAGTGTGGCAGACTTTGCTACATCTTTCAATTTCCATTCTCCTCTTGTCAGGGATTTTGATCCTGTTTGTGGTAGCTAGCTATGCACCCAGCTACCTGTAGCCTCCCTTCTGATACCCTGGAGGTATCAGGTTCCGGTCCATGACATCAGAGTGGAGGTTGCTGGGCCATGCAATGTATACTCATCCCAGGTCTAGTGACATAATGGATGCAGATGGGGCAACTGGTTCTGGGCATCCATCTAATGCTCAGGAAACAGGCATGGCATGTACCCAAGCCCTGGACGCAAACGTCACCACTGCTGCCTTCTTCAAGGAAGCATATTTATTGGTTCTGAGATAACAGGGCTGAGGCGAGCTGGGATGGGCACCGAGCTAAGGAGGGTGGCATGAGGCTTTACCCCGGGGCGGACATGCTGTGTGGGGCCTGCTGGCGGGCTCCCGGGCCCACTCAGCCAGCAGCAACTGGGCACATGGCACATGGCGCCTGACATGACCTCGGCCAGCTTGGCACTGTGCCTCCTCATTGGCGGGCGCCCCCTTTTCCAGTTGCAGGAGTTGTGAGTCTTTCACAGTGCGGAGGGGTAGGGGTCCGGGGTGCAGGCAGGCCCCGTCCGCCAGTCCATCCTGGGCTCTCGGCGGCTGCGGCGGGATGAGGCGTTCTCCGGCTCCTCTTCTCCCGCCAGTGGGAGCTTGGCAGTCCTGGAGGTGCGTCCTTGCCGTCTCAGCGGGACATCATCCTGACAAACTCTGGGAAGGGGACAGGGCGGGGTGGGGAAAGTGGCAGTCAAGGTCTCAGAGGACATCTACATGCCTCCCGCAGATCCATGGCCTCTGTCCACCTCCACAGCTGACTCATGCGTCCTGCCCTGAAGTCCATCTCACAAAGCTCTGATCCCTGAGACCTCCCATGACTGCCCTCAGGTGACGGCCAATGCTCTGAACAAGGTCCTCTCTGCTCTGGTTCCAGCTGACCTCTGGCCTCTCCTCTTCCCTCTCATCGCAGACTTCTTTTGTTAATTCCCTCTCCTGTACTTCCTTCTCACTTTCCCCTCAAAGGCTCCCTGCCCTTCTCTTTGGTCTTGTGGCCACTACTCACAGTCCATTGCTCCATTTACTTCTCACTTTCTCCAGGACACCCTCCCTAACTCCTCCCTGCAGCTCAGCGTAGGCACCTCTCTGCACTCTACAGCTTGCTCTGCTTCCCCAGCACAGCGGGGGTGGCTGGCTAATCTGGGGTCCCTGAGGCTGGGCTCAGGCCTCAGCACACAGTAGGTGCACATGACAAGCTGGAAGAATGACTGGGAGCTGGCCCCCAGGGAAGAATTGTTACGGGGGGTCAGGGGTGGGGGGTAAGCACTTGGACTGGCATGGCCTAAGTATGTCAGAAGATCTGGTAGTGGCAAAGCCTCTGTGCCTTCTCTCCACTCTCTGTCCTCCCTTGAAGGTCAACGAGTGTCCAGAAGGGGCTTCCATCCTCTTGCTCTGGACACATTCAGACCCTTGTCTTGCCTTTCTGCTCACAATGCAAGTTTCTGGTGTGGTCTCTCCCTTCTCCCCTGTGCCCCATGGTGCAGGAAGCGGGGTCATGGATGGCTGTGTTATTACACAGTGACTGAGATTCTAGGCCTGGGTTTGTCCTCCAGATCTGCTTTGTCCTAGTTAAGCAACCTGGACCAAGCTTTACTACTCCTCTGAGCCTCAGTTTCCCTCATCTGTCACATGAAGTATTAATAATGGGTTCCCTGCAGTCCTTGTAAGAATTAAATGGGATAGTATGTAAAGCAACTTAGTACGACTTAGTACTGGTTCACAGTAACATGTATGATAAATATAACTGTTACTGTCATTACTGACACCTTTAAAAGATATTTACTGAACATTGTTCTGTGTCAGGTCCCCAAATGAAGAGCAAATGTGTATCAGTGAGACAAGGTTCCTCTTCTCAGGAATCCCAGAGTCAAAGGGGGAGGCAGCCATAGCCAGCATGAGGGGTAGTGAGGCACAGAGTGAACCCAAAGGGCGATGTATATTTATATATGTTGTTGGGTGTATACTATTGACTTGGAACTGACCCTCTCCGGTGGGTTTTCAGAGGCAGATAATTGCACAGGAGGAGATTGCCCATCTTTCTCCTGTGGAGCAGCTAGTGGATTTGAACTGCGTGGCTTTGGGACTGCAGTGCAGCTTTTTACCACTAGACCACCAGAGGTGGGCCCAAGGGGCTATGAAAACCCAGAAAAAGAACATTCAGCCAGAGGAGATTCTCTAGGAAGTGGCCCCACTGCAGAGTCATGAAGGAGTAATAAGATTTAGCCCAAGTAAGAAAAAGGCATAGGAGGGTCTTGAACCCACAAGTGTGGCTTGATGGCAGAGAGTGAGTGAAGGAAGGGCAGACCTGTGGGTGGGGGTGGGAGGTGAGCTGTGGTCACATCAGAGCGGGCCTGAGGGTCAGGTTAAAGGAATGCGGCATTCAGAGAATATCTACCATAGATGGACAGGTGGACAGGTAGAGACGGGTAAGTGGACAGAAGAATAGATGAATGAATGAGTAGATGGGTACAGATGGAATTTGATCCAAACTGCTTAACAGTACAGAGGAGAAGTGGTCAGTGGAAGTCAGAGTAGAAGTAAAGGATACAGGTGGATAGAGGTACAGTTCCATGGATGAAGGAGAGGTGAGTAAGTAAGTAGCTGAGTATATGGAAGAATACACACCTGGCCAGTCACATCTATGCATCTTTCTACACACTCATCCACGTACCCATCTACTTACCTACTCTCCATGTCCTGTACTAGGTATGTGGCGGCTCGGATGATTGTTTAGAGAGAGATGAGTGGATGACTAGGCATTTAGATGGAGGAAGAGATGAATGGGTGAAGAGATGGGGAGATGGCTATGGAAAAACAGATGGACGAATGGGTGGATGAAAGCCAGAGAGATGGTTTTAAGAACGGAGGTGGGTAGAGGGGTGAGAAATGGAAGGACAGGGACGCACATGATGGGGCACAGTCGGAGAGCTCAAAGACGGCCATGGCTGCTTTGGCTGGCTTGTCTCGCGCCTCCAAGCTCCACCTACCTTCAAAGTCCACTCGTCCATCCCCATTGAGGTCCACATCACGGATAATTTCCTCTATGTCTCGGTGTCCCACCTGATGACCTAGGAGCTTCCTCATGGCTTCTCGTAACTCACTGGTGCTTATCTCCCCATCACCATTGGTGTCAAACTGCAGAGGGCAGGGGAGAGGCAATGGCTAACACATGGGGACTGGCAGAAAGAGATCCCAGGCTTAAATTCCTCCCCCAGGGATCCTTTCGTCCCCTGATCTGAGGTCCAGGGCTCACGGCTCCTTTTCAAATAAGCACGTCGGGGTTGGGACCCTCAACAGCTTTCCCAACCCTGCTTGTCCCATGCTCCCCATTCACCTCTCGGAAAGCATCTCGCAGCTCCTTTACTCCAATCATATCTGCTGTTTCTGCCAGGAGTTTTGGTCCCATTAGCTCCACGAAGTCATCAAAGTCCACATGGCCACCCACTAGGGACAGAAGAAAGGGCGAGGTCACCCATTCACATTTCTCATCCCTAATGAGGCAACCCCTCCCTGACCTGCTCAGGGCCAGGGCCAGAGTCAGGGCACAATCAGGACAAACGGGGACAGGGATGTGAGTGGGCAGGGTATGTCAAGGCCAGGGGGTGACTGAGGGAATGGGTCAGGAGGTGGACAGAAGATGATGTGGATGAGAGAAAGACATGCAGGGTCACAGACAGGCAAAACATTTCACGCATTAAAAAGAGAAAATATAATGCATATATATATGACACAATACTTCTACATAGGCCGAAAGCCAGGAGGTATGGCTGCCTGACCCTCATCCCCACAGCTTTCCTGCTGGACAAATGGAAGTTCAACTTCTCACTGGCTTTCTTGGGAGGTGGAAGTGCTGAAGAACAGCATGTGATGGACAAATACCCAGTAGGAGAGGTGGGGCTCTGAGGGGAGTGACCCCAGCAGGAGGAAGTTCTAGGTGGCCGAAGCGGTGAAAAGGGGGTGGGGGGGCAGAACTTGTGCTGTTCCCGCCCTTGCCAGTCTCACTTCTCTACTTTCTACCAACACTTTCCTTCAGTATGTATAAACAGCTTACACTCAAACCTTGCTTATGGGAGACCTCAGCCTAAGAGAAAATCATCCTAATAGTACCTGTGGATCTATCATCTAGTACTGTGTGCCAGGTCCGGCATTACTTTACATATGTCACCTGATGTACGTCTTGTATTGTACTTTCCATTACAAGCTCATTTTACAGGTGAGGAAATGGGGGCTCAGGGAGCACAAGTGGCTTTCTTCCCCCAGGAGCGTGAGGAAGTGGTGGGCCCCGGCCTGTCTGAGTGCAGAGGCCGGCACAGGAGAGGCAGGGAGGAAGGAGGTGACTCACGGTTCATGTTGATCTGCTGAGACAGCTCAATGAGCTCCATCTCCGTGGGCATGTAGCCCATGGTGCGCATGCAGTTGCCAAGGTCCCGGCAGTTGATGTAGCCGTCCTTGTCCTTGTCAAATTCTCTGAAGGCTTCTCGGAGCTCTGGGGAGGAGAACAGGGTGGGGGCGGGTAGAACCTCACAGAGAGCAAGCTTCTGGCAGAGGCAGACCAGGGCTAGGAGTATGGGGTGTGCTTCCTCCAACGGCTGGCTCCCCGAGCATGCCCTGCTCTGTACCAGGCCCTTCGCCCAGGTGCTTAAGCCATCTCTTCCCATCAGCCTCATTTCCCACACCTTCCTGGAGGGCTGAGCAGCCCATTACCCCAAAGAGCTGAGCTGCCCTTTAAACAAAAGGGCCAAGTTTTACCTTCAATCTCCTCTGGTCGCAGTGATCTGTCCTGAAACAAAAAAACATGTTCAATGAACATCTGAGGAGCCTGGAAGCTATGCAATGCCATACAAATGGCAGCAGACATTGGGTGCAGGGCGATGGGGATGCAGGCATGCCTGGAGTCCTTGAGGGAAGAAGGGGGTGGTCTCACATCTCCTATAGACCAGGAGATGTCCAAGGACCCAATTGCTCCCATGGCCTTGAGCACACCGAAACTCCACACCCTCAGACCCATATTCTAGACACAAGCATTTCTGTATTGTCAGAAAACAGAATTGGTCTGGAGGTAAAACCTGTAAATAAAACAAGGTCAGTGGGAGATGACACAGAAAGAAGAAAGTGTCCCCTACAGAGACAGGAAGAGTGGGGAGGTGAGACCTGCAAATGGAATGGGGCTGGGGGGGAGAGGAGGAAGGAGCAGGACGGAAGCACGAGTGGGAGGAAGAGGAGGAGGCAGATGTGGAGCTCCACTGGGGCTGTGCCCTGCTTCCTGGGAACAGCCCCACCAGCTCCCTGTGACTCTCATCCTTGTTCCATCGTGGGACATAGCGCAGCTAGCTGCTTCCAGTGTCTCAAGCACACAGCTCAAGCCTCAGCAGTGCCCAGGTCTCCTTGGGGGCTCAAGGAAACCTGGGTCCAGGCATCCAAACCAGATGGCAGTGCCATCTCAAGAGAGTTGGCCCAGCGGAAGCACAGGGCAGGCTGAGGGAGGTGAGGTGCCAGCCGGCCCAGGCCCGCCCAGGAAGGAGACAGACTGGCAGGAAACAGATACGGAGCCCATCTGGACCTGCTTAATAGGAGGCTCGCTCCAAAACAGGTCCACAGGGCTCATTCTCCCTGAAGACAACAGCACTCTGCCTGTGAGCAGGGGGCCTGTGCGACAGGCAGTTCGTAACAGGTGTGGGCACACCACTCATGAATGGCCACGTGGGCATGCCGCGTGAGCTGGCCCATTGCATCTGTGCACAAAGACTGTTCTAGCCGATGGGGTCAGTATGAGGTCTCAACGGCCACAAGCCAGCCCCTGAGCAAGGCACCGTGGTCCCAGGGAATCTGGAGGTCTTTCAGAAAGGGAAGGGGATCCTGAGAAACATCTTACAGGACCCAGCGCTTGGAAGGGCTGTGTGTGGCGTGATGGTATTGAGGGTACATGGGAGCTGGAGCCTGCAATGAGCAGGCTTCAAGCTACCAGGTCCTCAAGCTGGTGTTTCCAGCTGTGAGAGGGAGTCACTTGAAGTCTCCACATGTCTGTGACAAGACTAGCTGATTTCCACTGGGTCTTTTGAGTTTGTCACAGTATGTGCCACACAGTATGTAACTCCTGTTCCTTGTCAGGTTTGGATCAATTGTCAGGTTGCCCTCATGCAGCCCTTATGTGGACTTCTAGTCTATCTACAGCACTTGATGCCTTGGGCCCTGGGTAGGTAGGTCTATGTGCCATAAGGGTTTTAATGGCTGATTTTTCAGTTATGGACTGCCAGGCCTTTCTTCTGAGGTGCCTTTCAGTGGCCTTGAACCACCAACTCTTCCATTAGCAGTCAAGCAAATAAGCCATCATGTGTGCCTGCCACAGTGTGTCTGTGGCAAGAGTTGCTCTTGCTTTGTCCTGGTCCCAGCCCATGGCACATATCCTCCCTTTGCACCCCCCAGATGAGGTGGTCCCCCAGACAGGGCTGGACCACTGCGGCAGGAAGCCATGTGCCCTCACACAGGGATCAGATGGGATCTGGGGACGTGAAGCTGGGGGTAGAACTTGGGTTCTTGAGACATGAGTTTGTAGCCCAGATCCGCTGCTCTGTGGCTGTAGGATTGCGGGCAGGTCACTTCAGCTCTCTAGGCCTCACCCCTCTGGTTAGAGATTGAATTGTGTCCCCCAAATAAAAATGGTGCAAATCCTCATCTCTGTGCCTGAGGTCACAATCCCATTTGGGAACGAGCTGTCACTGGTATGTCAATGGCACTGGCATAGGGTGTGTCTTGAGTCAATCTCTTAAAAAATATTAAATGGGCAGATGCAGCCAGGGGAGAAGAGGAAAGAGAGATGTGCAGCCACATGGCAACTGTCCAGGGAGCCAAAGCTCAAGACAAAGACTTTCTTCCAGAGCTGACAGAGAAAGCCCTGGCCTTGAGCTGGCGCCCTGCATTTGGACCTCAAGCCTCCTGGACTTGAAAGGACACATTTCTGAGGTTAAAGGTCACCCACCTGTGGTGCTTCTGACAGAGCAGCAGGCAGTAACTAGGATGCATCTTCCTGTGTAAAATGGGTGAACGCCACTGTCCCCTCACAAAGCCTTCAGCAGATTTCACACGTCAAGTGTTGAACATGTGGCATTCAATAAAGGAAGCTTATAAATATATGTAACTGATGTTTGCTCTGTAACATCATCATCATCATCATCATCCTTCCAGTGATACCTTCAGGGGTGGTGGGGTTCCAACAGGTGGTCACTAGCCACATGTGGCCACATTGAAATTTGAATTAGGAATGAGTAATATGAAAGCTCCAGGCTCTCGGGCAAATGAGGCACATTTTGATCCAGCTCTTCAGTGATCAGTGGTCACATGTGGCTGGTGGCTACTGTACTGGATGACACAGATCAAGGCACGTTTCCATCACAGCAGAGCTGTTCTGCTGGACATGGCCAAGGACGGAGCTCAGAGCACCCTAGGCAGTGTCCTAATTCTACTACTACTCGCAGTCCTTCACTCATGTCACCTCTCCATCTTATCTTCCCCCCTGTAAATTGGGGATGGTAACAGCACCCAAATCTTGGAGTTGATCTAAGGCTAAAATGAGACCATCCATCAAACCACTTAGTGCGTGCCTGGCACACATGGCGTTTATAAAAAAAAAACCCTACAAAATCTCTTGTTATTGCTCCTGCTGGTGGGTGTGGATTCACCAATACTTTGCAACCACAGGTGAGAGACATTGGGGACCAGACTGACCAGCTGTGGGGTTGGGGTGTTATCTCCTCCTAGGGGACAGAGGCTGCTGTGTACGGAGGCTTCTTTTCCAGCACCTTTCTCATGCCCTGCAGAGCCGAGCCAAGTGTGGCTCCACTGGGCCAACTTACGTACAGGCTGCCTGTTCTCGGCGAAGCCCTTGCGCAGGAAAATGCAGGCAGGGCCCAGCAGGTTGTGCATGACGGCGCAGTTCTGGGCCAGCGTCAGGAGTGGTCCGTGGAGCTCACCGCTTTCGGCCAGCCCCTCCTCGCTTGTCTGCACCGCTGTGTAGCTGGTCTTCTCCTCCTGGCGCATCTTCAGCAAGCACCAAGCAAATACAAAAGAGAGGGGCTGTCACCGTCCTGCCCAGGTGGGCCTGCCTGGCTCCTGGTCCCAGAGGGGCTCTCCCAAGGGAGGAGCCTGGAGAGTGAAGTGGCGGTTGCAGAGTGCCTCAGGATGCCATGTGGCCATGCCTCCGCATGGTCCACCAGATGGAGTCTCCAGTCCTTAACCGAAACCAATGCTCCGAGAGAGCTGGCTGTGCACCCACATATACCACACACACTCAGGCAGGATCACACTCATGTGCGTGCAGAAACTCAAAGAGAGCAGCGGGCAGAGGGAAGCTTTTGTTCTAACAGGAAATGTCCACTCAGACGCTAAGGGAATAATGTCCCGCCCCCAGGATGCTCCGGGTAGCCCAACTCCATCCCTGAGGCCAAGGTGTCCCTCTGGGCTCCCAAACAGACTTCTGACCCTGCCTTCACAGGGCCCCACTGGGAGGCTAGGAGGACACTCGGAGCTGGTCACCCAGAGAACAGGGCTAGTGAGCTGGCAACACTGGAGGCTGCAAGCCTGGGAAGCTGGAATAGAGTGGGTAGGCTGTGAGAAGAGAGGGCTGGGGGGAGTGGACAGTGAGGGCCAGTACTGCTTAACTGCAGCCCAGTGCTGCCAGACCTCCTGATTTAAAGCCCCAAGGGAACTAAACAAAACATGTCTGTGGGTCCACTTCCACCCGGCTGGTGACCGCCATCCCGCAGTCCTCCTGCCCGCCTTCCCTGGCTCCCCGCCCGGCCCGGCCCGCTGGCCTCTGGAGGCTGAGGCATGGCCTCCTCTGCTTACCGAATATAGCTGAGCTTCCAGCCCAGCCAGCTCATCCTCCTCCCCACTGGTTCCCATGCAGCTATAAAAAGTCCGCACTGGCCCCAGCCCTGCCCCTTAGGACACCAGCAGCATCCAGACACAACATACTGCTCTACCCAGGCCTCCTCGGCATGCTGGTCCCTTCGTGGAGGCCTGGCCAGGGCATTCTATCTTTGCTTCTGAGCATGGATGCTTCCTTGAGGAAAGGGGTAGAGACAGCAAAAACTCTGAGGGTTGTCTTACCTCGAGAAACCCAGAGGCACACCCCCCCTCAGCAGAACCCCCCAAGTCACGCGCTCCTCCAGTGCAAGGATGGGGGCTTCTAGGAGACCCTAATCCCTGGAGAGCAGCAGAGCGCCCCCCCCAGCAGCTATCCTCTAATGTCCTCTCTGAGCCTCACACCACGCAGCATCACCACTCCCAAATTCCCAAGCCTCCTCCAGGCTTAGAGAGGGATGAGCAGCACCCAAGAAGATTCAACTCAAACCAGGTGAAGAATTTCAGTCTGTGGCTCACGTCTGATGAGTGCGGGGCCAATCTCAGAACTTGAGGGCTGTCAGACAGGCCAGAGGTCCACTTGGGTTCAATGTCCAAGAGAGCTAGGATTCAGAGCCTGTACAGCATCTACAGGCCTCCTAGAGACAGGTTAGGGCCACAGAAGAACAAGACAGCCCTTCCCGACTGAGAGAGTAGAGCAAAGGCAGCTCAGAATCTATGGTGACTTAACCAGAAACCGTGTCAGAAAATGTGTGTAGGGAATTTGCTGTTTTATTTCTGGTTGAATTGCTGCTGTTGAGCTTATCTCATCCTAGTAAAGAGGCATCAAGCAGCACCGAGCTCAGAGAGGCAGTTTAATCTACTGGCTGGACTCTGAACAGTCTTGGGGACGAATTCTGGCTCTGCGGATTGCTTGTGTGA